CCTGTGACAGAAATGAAAGATGCAGAGGGCAGAGTTTTTTGGGCCACCACTCTGGTTTCAATTTCAAACTGATAAGAATTAAAATCAGTGATTACACAGTAGGGAGACAGCCACGTCTACTCTTGCTGTCTTGGATTCTTTGCCTCACACCTACAGATTGGCAAGCATTGGCCGGAGCAACTTTATCAGGTGGGGATTATCTTTTGTGGAAATCAGAATGTATAGAAAATTGCAAAGAGACCGCCAGGCACAATATGCAAGCCGGAAATGGGTGGAACCTTGATATGTTAATAGGGGAGGATGCCTAGGCCCACAGAGAGGTCCAAAAAGCACTTTTTGCTCAAATTCAAGCAGCAGCTATTCGAGCATGGAGAAAACTGGCTACAAACAGCAATATGAGTTCCTCTCTCACTAGCATTAAGTAATGGCTGGGGGTTTAGCTCAGCGGCATAGGCACCTGCCTGCCAAGCACAAGGTTGTGAGTTCAGTCTCCAGGGCTAGAGATTTAGCTCAGTGGCACAAGTGCCTGCCTGACAAATGAAAGGCTGGGAGTTCAATCCTTGGTACCATTGACATTGAAACTTCTTATCAGGTTTACAGTTAAACAGTTCTTATCTCAAAAGCATAAACAAAAATGTTTTACCTGTGGAGAGACTGGTCATCTTGCAAAGAACTGCAAAAAAGACTCCAAAGATAGAGATTCCAATGTCAATGCAAAAGCCAAAGCACCAGGATTATGCCGTAGATGTAAAAGGGGATACCACTGGGCTAATGAATGCAAATCTAAATGGGATATTAATGGAAAAGAATTGCTTCCACTGCAAGGAAATGGGAATCGGGTCCAGCCCCAGGCCCCCAAACCTAAACAAATCTCTGGGGCGGTAAGCTTTGTTCCAACAAACAACAATCCATTTCAGACCTCTTTAGAGCCACAACAGGAAATGCAAGACTGGACCTCAGTTCCACTACCCACACAGTATTAACCCCTGAAATGGGAGTTCAGGCCCTCCCTACAGGAGGTTTTGGGCCCCTACCAAAAAATTCATTTGGCCTTATAATAGGACACAGCAGCAAAACGCTTCATAGACTACAGGTTTTTCCAGGCATAGTTGATAATGATTATTCTGGAGAAATAAAGGTCGTGGCATCCTCACCTAAATACATTACTACTATCACTTATGGACAAAGGTTCGCTCAGTTACTACTCTTGCCTCCTACACAGGGCTTATAGACAACCATTATCCTCCAGACAAGCTTATTGAATTTGCCAATCGGCATTCATTTATCTTCCCTATGGTCACATCATTCAAACCATTAAAAAATGCTTTGTTGGTATTTACTGATGGCTCCTCAACTGGCTTAGCAGCCTATGTTTTTCAAAACCAAACTGTATCATTCCAAACAAATAGTACATCAGCCCAGGTCACAGAGTTGCATGCTGTCACTGCAGACCTTTCAGCATTTCCCAATCAGCCCTTGAATTTGTATGTTGACAGCGCTTATATTGCACACTGTGCCCCTGCTAGAAACAGCTGGCCAAATCAAAAGTGCCTCCAGCACTGGAGAACTGTTTAGGCAAATACAGATGCTTATTATAAAAAGAACTTGCCCCTTTTTTATTGGATATCTACGTGCTCACTCTGGGTTACCAGGACCTCTGGCCAATGGTAATCATGCAGCAGACCGGGACACTTGACTGCAAGCTCTCCTTTGTACTTTAGCTAATGTTAGCTCCAGTGATCATGATGACAATGTTACTTCAGCACAAGAGAGTCATCAATTACACCATCTCAATGCTAAAACCCTCTGTCTTATGCACAAGATCACTAGAGAACAAGCCAGACAGATTGTAAAAAATTGCCCCTCTTGTGCCAGGCACCTCCCCGTTCCACACTTTAGGATTAATCCTAGAGGATTTATCCCCAATGCATTATGGCAAATGGATGTCACCCACATTCCTGAGTTTGGCAATCTTAAATATGTTCGTGTAACTATAGATACCTTTAGCGGTTTCATTTATGTCTCTCCCCAGACTGGCAAAGCTACCAAACATGTTACTAGCCATATGTTAACTACCTTATCAGTTTTAGGATGCCCGTATCAATTAAAGACTGATAATAATCCAGGCTATGCTAGTTCTGCCTTCGCCCGTTTCTGTCAACATCTTAATATTCATCATATAAAAGGCTTACCTTATAACCCTCAAAGTTAAGGCATAGTTGGAAGGGCATATCTCTCCCTAAAACTCACTGTTGATAAAATAAAAAAGAGGGAATGGTACCCCACAAGGGGGACACCTAAAAATATTCTATCTCATACCTTATTCATCCTTAATTTTTAAAATCTGGATGCTGCTGGACAATCAGCAACCACCCATTTTTGACATACTGAAACACAAAAGCAATTTGCTTCTGTACTATGGAGAGACCCACTGACTAACTCATGGCATGGTCCAGACCCAGTCCTTATCTGGGGACGAGGATCAGTATGCACATTGAGATGAAATCTGTGAGATGGCTGCCAGAATGATTGGTTAAACAAATAGATCAAATGCAACAAATAGAGGATGCAGATGACTCCAGGGATAAAAATGACCCCTGAGAGATTTTTTCAGCTTTTATTTTTCAGATGATGGAACCAACAGCCTGGATCTTGTCTCTTAGGATTATGAGAATAAGTTGATGGCTTTTGTCAAACAATGGGTGGATGCCATAAAAATGCAACCTACAGGTCCATTACTACAGGTTTAGAATGGCTGATAGAGAAAATTACGTGGAGCCTCCAAAACTGTATTATGATAATGCTTTGTGAAAGCATGCTGCCTGCTCCATTTCTCTTGCCTTGGTGCGATAGACTGGATAGCCAGAGATGGGCAACTGGGCCTCACATGGGATGCCAACCTCCACCTAAGACACGAACTGGGCCTCTCGCTGCTCTGCCTTCCAATGACGGGTAAGGCTAGGTTGGCCCCCCTGTGGAAGCACCCTGACCCCAAGACAGGCACGGTCTCCTCAAGGATGTAGCCTCTTATATGCCTCTTATATTTTAAAGTAAAGGGTGATCTGTGCCCTGTAATTGGCTGCCACTTTATATCTGCAGGCCGTACCACCTTAACATCTGCAGGCCACTGCACCTTAACTCCCTCTAGGAGTTAAGTTTGGTAGTTAAGCAGCACCTTGTCTACCTAGCTTGTTTGGCCTATTCAGGAATTATGCTAATCAGTCTGCCTTATGAGCCCGCACACAGGAAGTTTGAATTGACCTATAACCCTCGGTCTTGTCATTGTTGCTAAGTTACCTGCTGACATCTCAAAACCCAACTCCCTCCTCCTCAATACTCTATATTTGATACTCCTTCCTTGAATAAACGAGACTTGATTGTACTTCTTCGTCTTGTCTTTGTCCTTTGTGTCTCTTGTTTCCTTTTCATCCCCATTCCCCCTGTAGGGTCTCCGTGGACTTACCTGCAGGCCGGGACAGTGAGACACCATCATCATGGAATAAAGTCAAGGTACAAGAAAAATTGCTTGCCTCATGGCAGCCAGGAAGCAGAGGGGGAAAGACATAGATGGGAAAAGGCTGACAACAAGATATTGTCTCCAAGGTCACAGCCCCACAGTCTACTCCCTTCAACTAGGCACCACCTTCTAAGTCTTTATTATCTCCCAATAATGCGATCAAATTATAAGCCCATCAGTGGATACATCCATTCATGAAGTTAGAACCTCACAATCCAATCATTCCCAAAAAATGCATCAGCTAGCAACTAAGCTGCTAGCACATGGCTCTTTGGAAGAGCATTTATGTTCAAAGATATGTTAGTCAGCTTTTTGCTACTGTCAAAAAAATCCAAGATAATTAACTTTAAAAGAGGAAATGTTTATAATAGCTCCTCATTTCAAAGGTTTTGGTACATGCTCACTTGGTCCTTTTGGTTTTGGTTCTGTAGCAAGGCAATACATCATAGAAGGAGTGTGTGATGGAGGTCTGTTCACCCTACAGTAGTTAGCAACAAGTAATGAAAGAAAGAGTGGTCCAGTAATCAGTCAGATTTTCATTGCTGAGGCAAAATATTCAAGACAAACAATTTAAAGAGAATGGTTTGTTTTGGTTCATTGTTTCAGGGGATTTTGTCCATGGTAGGCTGATTCCAAAGCAACATTATGATGGAAGGTCCTGGCCAATCAAGGCTTCTCAGTTTAAAAAACATCCAGGAATTAGAACATGGGAACAATACCAGAGAGGTAGAGGTCTGGGACCAATACAGCCCCAAGACTCCACCTCCATGACCCACCTAGAAACACCCAGATGTGTGTTTTACTAATCTCTTTGATTGGCTCTCAAGCCAATCAAACTGACACAGCATAACTAACCATCATAACCAGGTTGGATCCCAATATTACCTTTGAGGATACTCTCTTAGTGACCCAACTTCTTCCAACTTGGCCCCACCTCCCCTAAATTCCACCACCTCTCAATAGTGTCTCAGGCTGAGGACCAAACCACTTACACATAGGCTCTTGGGAAACATTTCAGATTCTAATTGTAGCATATGGCCTGGAGACTGGAATTTAGGTCATAGGAGCACCACCTTGGGAAAGGATTATTATTCATGTTAAGAGAATGGGTGAAGTATCATAGAACTGGATTTGTTATCATGAAAACAAATTGTTAAATATGCAAGTTCAGCTTTCTTAGTTCATTCTCTTGCTTCTCTCAACCTCTGTCTCTATGTCTGTCTGTCTCTGTCTCATCCTCTACCATGTAATGCCAGGTGATGCTGCCTGCCATGAAGCCCTCACCAAAAGCTAATGCTAGCATCATGGTTTTGGACTGGCAGAATTGTGGGCTAAATAAGCATTTTTCTTTTGTAAAACATCCAGTTTCAGGTATTTTGTAATAGTGACCTAAAATGGGCTAAGACAGCCACCACCTCCAAGCACATGCATCTCATCTTTCTATTTCCAAGACTATAGGACAACAAGAATGCATTTGACTTACCTTCAGATGCTTTCCAGTAAGATACACCAACAGCATGAAGACTGACAGGATGAGAAGCCATGTTCTTAAGTGTGATGACCACTGTGTCATAAACCTCAGCCCAGATGGTAGGACCCAGCAGACCTGCAAGAATGAGACATCCCTCAAAAGTCACTTGGAAGATAGTATTCCAGAAAGAAAACTTGCTATTGTAAAAGTGAGGATCAAAGTCATAGCAGAGAAGCATGCCCCTATGATTATTGACAAAGAATAGTTATGCTTGCTATCAACATCAGCTCAGCCTCATGGTGTTCCAAAGCAATATTACTGTATTGTAATTCATTCACTGTATTCATTAATTCAACTAATATTTGGGTTCCTACTCTAATAACTGTGCTAGGTTTTAGATATCATTGAGAGCAAATTCTGAAAACATTTACCTCATAAATGAATAAATAAATAAAATTTTCAAATTGTTACAATCACTATAAAAGATGATAGTGTGCTAGAAAATGATGAAGCAGGAGGTAGAGAATACTTTGAATGTAGTGGTCAAAAAGATCCTCTCTGAGGAGGTAGCATTTGATCTTATGAATGAAAAACAAGAAGCATTTGCTAAGATCTAGTGGAAGAATATTAAATTAAAGTCAGATAAAGTAAATGCAAAAGTCCTAAGGCAGGAATAAACTTGGGATAGTTTAGTAATATAGCTGGCACAAAGTGAGTGGGCAGAAGAGCGACAGAAAAAGATTGTAGTAGCAGAGAACAAACACAGAAGACCTTGTAGGCCACAGAGCTTGGATAACTTCTGATTTTATAAGAAGTAAAGGAGGACCACTTGACACTTGTTTTGGAGTAACAGACAATAGGCCTCACTGGTGATGGACTAGATGTTGGAGACAGGAGAAAGAAGAAGTAAAGATGATTTCTATAAATTTGGATTTTGAAACTGGACAGTTAATTAATCCATGATATAGAAAATCAAGAAAGAAAGAGTTCAAATTTGCATATAAGATGCTTATAAATTATTTATTGAATGAACTAGATTCAGTGAGATGAAATAACTATTTTTCTTAAGGCCATTCTTTAATTGAATTATGTAGAATTTCCTTTTCTTATACTTTGATGAATCTGAAATCTTTTCCAGTAACTTCCAGTATTAAAAAGTATTAAATAGTATTAAATAGTAACCTTTTAAGGCACTAACAAGTCCAGTCCAGTCTAATATCAAACTTTGTTTTTGTTTGCTTGAGACAGGGTCTTACTATGTAGCTCGAGCTGACTTGGCACTCAGTATGTAGCCCAGACTGGCCTCAAACTTGTGACCATCCTCCTGTCTCAATCCCCCAAGTGCTGAGATTACAAGGATGCACCACCATGCCCTGCTAATTTCAAACTTTTAATGTGTTCTATAATTCAAAATCCTTTTCTCCTCCAGCCAAATTCTGGCAGGCTCAAAAAACTGCAGTAGGTAAAAGTAGTTTTGTTAGGAGTTTTTTTGATTCCTCAATTTCCTGTCCTAATCTTCCTCCCCAACTGATGTTAGCTGCCTCTAGACACTGTAAGGTAGGCCCAAATGGAAAGAGGGTGGGAATGGAAGAGGCATGAGGATACGGTGTTTCTTGGGAGCAGAAATGGCAATGTGGTATTAGCACATTGTTGCAGCACATGCCCAAATTCTGACTCTTTCTTAGAAAATTTCTATAAATTATTTGGAAAGCCTCTCCCCATCCTCAATATGAAACTGTCCTTATCATGGGATATGCTCTCTCTAACTAGTCAGTTGTATTTCTTTCGTTAGTCTCTGTTTCTATCAACACAGCCCACATAGACCTTTTCTTTTTTTTAGGAGTCATGGAGCCTTGGCAGGAAGACCTCTTTAATAAGGTCTTCCTAAAACCAGGCTCATTCCATGATATTCTTGGCCTCACACCTAACAGTGTCAGTGTAGTCAGATTCCACTATATTCTACCTTCCATTCTGTGGCATTAGCTTCCAACCTTGAAAGTTTTTCCAGACACAAACCAGACACTAGTCATTGTTTCCCAAGTTCCAGAGATCCTAGGGCAGGTCTTTTACTGCTTTTCCTGAAGCCTCTCTTGTCATAATCTGATATGAGGTAGAGGCCTCTTTTCTCCCATGGGAGAGGGACATTTCAAAAATTCTCCTCAAAGAATCTTCAAATATAAACTTTAAAAACAATAAATTTCCAGGCTTCTTTTATACAGGTTGAAGGTATATCATGGCCTAAGGTTGCAGAACCGCTTTTTGACCACAATGTGAATAAGTCCTGAATAGGTAGGCTAGTACCTCAACTTTAGAATATGGTGATATTTGTCATCTATAATTCTCATCAACAATTCTAAGGGGCCAGGAGTGTATGCCTAGCATGAGGAAAGCCTTGGTTTTGATCACCAGCACCATAAAAAAGAAACTAGGAAAGAAGGAAGAAAGGAAAAAAGGAAGAAAGAGAGAAAGGGAAGGAGATAGAAAAGGATAAAAAAGAGGAAAAAAGAAAAGGAAAAAAGAAATTTAAGGTGTTCCATTTTAACTTCTCAACTTATTTGGCATTAAGTGTTGGTAAGCCGTTAGGGTTTGGGAAGGGCTCTAAATAAAAGGTATAAATTTGGGTGTCACAACTACAAAATTAGTATTTTAAAACTATGAAACTGGATAGGATCACCCAGGGATTTAACACAGAAAAAAAGAAATGCATCTGGGACCAAGCTCCATGGCACTCTACATCTAGAGACAAAGCAGAGACAGAAAAGTGTGGCTAGTGTATTTTCCTCCAGGTGGCAGTAAGGGAAACCAGGTCAAAAGAACCTGTTTTTGGTAGCTGTTCTCTCAAACCACAGTCCCTAAGATTGGCAAGTCCTTGCTAGGAAATAAGATACCTAGTGTCATAAGTAGCACTCAACAGTATTTTCATTACCCATCCAAGGTGGCCTGGGCTTGGCAATGTTGAAAAGGTGATCCGTGAATTCTACAAACACAGTCTTTTTGTACATGACTGAGGTGTTGAATGGAAAAGATTCTGGCATTTTAGGAGGAAATCTGTGTGAAGAAAAGAAAACGTTATTCATTTTGGTGTGCATTTCTTTGAGCCCACTCCAAAAACAAGCTTGAAGTAATGCTTTTATCCCACTGATTTTTACTGTTTACAATGCAAATTGGAAGTTGAATATGAATCCCTAATATCCATCAAATCAAAACAGTTTTCACAGATCAGCTGATACATTAGGTGCCATATGATAAATCATAAAATCTATGCCCAAAGACTACATCAGCCAAAAAAATCTGCTGCCAAAGCAACAACTACTAAATTGTTTAATGTTATTTCTAAAGCAGGGTAGAACTTTCACCTAAGAGTCTTGTATGAAAATTTTGTGAATATGTACCTAAAATTATACTACCTTTCTTTTTTTTTACTTAAAGAGAAAAAAAACAGAAGAAAAAAGGGTAGAAATAACATAGAATTTCAGAAAAATAAACAGTAAGAAATCACTCGTTGATAAGTTACATATTGCCATCGTAGAAATAGTTGTTCAGGTTACAAAATTAAAACATACAGTGATATTCAAATAGTGACGCTGCCAACAGTTCTGCTCAATGATCCAACAAAAACTTAGTAATATGGTTATCAGACCTACACACTTGCTTTTTATCTTAAAAAGGGTAAGATTAAACATATCAAAACAGAACAAAACAGTTCAAAAAAGAAGCAGTTTAAAGAAACACAGATTTCAAAGCAAGTCCACTGGAAATCTTCACTGTTTATCTAATTGTCTCTACTTTCTTCCAAATAGTTGTCCCCATCTTCACACACATTAAATACATACTGCATATTATAGAACTAATCAAATCATTACAGGATGATGAAAGCTTTTTAGATCTTCAAGATCTGACATTGGGGAAGACAATAATGACTACCATAGTGTCTCTCATTCTCTTCGTAGTAGCTGTCCTTATCTTTAAGTATGCTGAAATTGAACTTAAGAGACTAGACTAATATCACTCTGAACAGTGAATAATAGTATTGCTAGATTTTATATCATAATGCTAAAAAATTAGCATTGGGTTTCTTAGTGTCTCTTATTCTTCAGAGTATCTGTTCATTACATCTTGCATTATATAATCTGTTCCCATAAATAGTTTAAAAAATCTTCTCATGTGTGAATTTCTAAATGTGTATCTATCCTCTCTGTATTATAGGGAAAAACAAATAACAAGACAGCAAAACAAATTCCTAGAAAAACATGCAATGAAAAAGACACATAAGACCACAATATTAGGTGATCTACCATAGTTACTATGCTTTCTCTTGTTATTTTCAATAGACTTGTCCACATCATCAGGCTTAGTATAGTTAAGCATAGTATTACATAGCTATTTTTTATAAAAACACAACTTTGAAGACATTGTAGGACTTGAGAGCAGTTAATAATCAAAACCGACATGGATATCTTTTATATCTTGTCATCTTCAGAATGGTTGCCTCTACTCTTAGATTTGATACTATCAAGCAAACCAAATTCGAATAAAATCAGTCAAGGCAAAACCGTAGTCTAACCAACCAGCTTCAATAAGACCAGTCATAGTAAGACAATGTAAGTAATACAGGGTTTCAGTTTAAGTTAATAGGAAATTAAGGATAGTTACCATGGTATAACCTGCTATTTTTGGGTCAGATGTCTGTGCCCTCAAATCTGATATGAGTGGACAGACCAGAACAAAATAAAATCAAACTAAACAGCGATAAGACTACTGTGACTTTTAAATCCTGATACACCATTAACAATGACCCGTGCCTTCCTTTTTTTTTTGCTGTTTTTTACCTTTCACCTTGTTAGGATGCTCTGTATGTTTTGGGTCCCACTAGCCCCTTTAGTTTTTAGATTAGGGGGCCAGCCTGTTGTCTATCTGAGTGTTGCTGAACCTTTCTGCCCCCGAGCTTGATCTGAGCTGTACTCCTTTACTCACTAAACTCATAGGGTTTTCCTTCCTTCCAGCTGTGTAGTTCTACACTGTCCAAAAGTGTCATAGCTTTCCAATCTATCTGTGGCTGCTGGATGAGTTGTCCCTATTTCTCTCTGGTCTCCTGTCACATGTAGCATTGTTTTCTCATCTTTCACTTTCAGTTTATTAACCCTCCTTCAGGTTTAGTGTATTTTCTATTCAGAGCATCTCGATGGAACCTGTCTCTTAAAATCTACTCTGCCTGTTTCTTTTTTTTATTTTAGAGTATCTAGGCTACCTATATTAAAGATTGTAGCTTACCATCTCTGCCTCATGTCTGCTATTCAATTTTTCTGCTATTATTTGTCCACTTTACTCCTTCATTCCACTGTCTGCCCCATTCATTGAGGCCTCTCTGCCACTGTTACTGGAATCCTGGTATTTTTCCTCTCTCTCTCTGGAATGTCCTTCAGTATTTTTTGTAGGGTTGAGTTGGTGGCCATGAACTCCCACAGTTCCTCCTTGTCTTGGAAACATCTTATTTCTCCACTAATTTTGAGAGTTTTCCTGGGTACATCAGTCTTGGTTGCAGATTATTTTCTTTCAGGGCTTGCACTATTTCCCCCCAGGCTCATCTAGATTTGAGAGTTTGTGTTGATAAGTCTGTTGTTATTTTGATAATTTTCCTGTTGTAGGTAATCTGCTTCTTTTCCCTGGCTGCTTTTAGTATTCTGTTCTTTTGGTAGATTTCTGGAATCTTGATTATTATATGTCTGGGTGTAGATCTGTTTTGGTTGTAGGTGGCTGGAGTTCTACATGCCTCATTTATCTGGATATCATTTCTTTTTCCTATGCTTGGGAAGTTTTCCTTTAATATATCTGTGAATAATCTTTGTAGTTCATTTTTGGTTACTCCTGCTTCCTCGCTCATGTGTTTTATTCTTAAGTTATGTATCCTTTTGTTGTCTTCTAGCCTTTGAATTATTTCTTTCTGGTTCCTCATTATTTTTAAGAGATCTTTTCTTTTGTGATCGTATATCATAAATCTCTCTTCAAGTTTCAAAAGGCTAACTTTAGTTTCTGTCAAGGCATTTTGCCAGTTTTCAATGGAATTTTTAGTTTCCTGGTAATCTCTTTGAATCTGTTTCACATATTCTAGGTTATGTTTAAATTCTTCATCAAAGGTTTCTCTTTCTTTTCTGAGTTCCTCCATTCTTCCATCTGTGTTCTCTTGGGAGGGGCTTATCATTTCTTTAATTAATGTTTTTATATCTTGCCTCACTTGGATCAGAAGTACAGTTTTAAATTCGTCTATGAGGTCATGAAGGTATTTCTTTATGTCCACTGATGCTATGTCTAGTATTGGATGGTTACTGTGCTGGTTCTCTTCTGTATTTACTTCTCCTGGGCTTATTTTCCCAGGTTCAGCAGCTGGAGGCTTTATTTTTGTTCTATCTCTTGTCATATTTTCTGGTTTCTTTCAGACTGGTGTGTCCTGGGGGTCTCTGGCCCTCTCCATATTGCTTAGGGTCTTTCCAAAGCGTGCTGACTGGGGTTTTTGCTGCCCTCCTCAGTTTGCTATTATCTGAGGTACATGCAGGCATGCAGGGATGGTGCAGGCTAGCCTCCAGCCTCTGAGCCAGTCAATTTGCAAGTTAGGCTGTACCTTGTGGACGTCACAGAGTTGGGACAATTTTGTACCTACTTATTGGGTCCCAACCAGAGGCGTGGCTCATCCCTAGAAGATCCTACCAGTCATCTCTGTGCCAGGGGTGGCTGACTGATGTCACCATGGCACCAGGCTCTGCCCAACTCCAAGATGTCCTGTAGCCAGCAACAGCAGCCATGGGTCACAGTCCCTAGCACTCACTGGAAATCAATGCAGTTCTTCCTCTTGGGTCCACTCCACACTGTCTTCACTATGCTCCCAGCACAGCGCAAATTGGTCAGAAAACTGCACAGTGCCTGGCTTTGGCATCAGGTGTATGGTCCTCTCGCGGTCTTCTCTGGCATGGCAGGTGGCTCTGGCTGCTTTGCGGGTCCCTGGGACTCAATCTCCAGCACACACCGAGAGCCAATATACCTCTTCCCCTTGGATCCACTGCTCACTGCACTGCATCCTCCTGTTAAGGGTCCGGAATTCGCTGACTCCTGTTATCAGCAGCTGAGGTATTCAATGAGACTTTGGATCATCCGTGCATGCCTAGTACAACGCAGACCGAGTCTCAGTGAGCATGTTAGGTTTCAGTTCTCCATTTGCGCTTTTCCTTCCTCTTCCTAGTTTATTTTTCCCTTTGGTTACCACCTTGGTTAATAAGAATCGTTATCCAATCATCTAGTCCTCTCCATGTTGTCAAATTATAGCATCTGATCTGATTTCTCTGCAGAGGCTCTCCATCCAGCCCTCTAGCAAGTTGCCATTTTTTTCCCTATACTACCTTTCTTATTAGTACCAAGAATAACACGGAGAAAATAACTTTCAATAAAGACCATGTATATTAAGGTACAAGTGATGCCAGGAGCTGCACTTCAGAGTCAGTTATACATTCATTCTCACCTCCAGTGTGACAATATTTTTTATTAATTAAGTTTATTGGTGAATTTAAGATATATATAATAACATTTATTATAGGTAATTTGTACCTGTACACTACAGTGTATCAGTCTTAATTATCCATTTATTCATGGATCATTAACTGCTTCAGAGATTAATATACTTAATTATGTAAATGTTCCCAAAATGCTGTTCTTTGCATCAGTTATTAATCTTTTTAGGTGAAGACTGGTTCCTAACTTTTCCTTTTTCCTTGTCCAATAAGTTAGTACATCACTACATAAAGATAAGTAATAAAGGAGAAAAGGGAACTCAAATCTTTGTCTCTTACTGTCTTAAAACTCTGGATCAGATTTCTTGTTAGCTCTGCATAGGAATGTTAATCATTTAGGAAGCTGACCAAATAAGGCTTATTAGCCCTAAATTTACCTAGCCTACTTTATCCACTTGAAAGACAGTGGACACTGAGATATAGTAACTAAAGTAATTTTCAGAATTTACGAGGACATCCAATTGCCAGTTTTCAAGTCCATTTCCAAACCCC